TCTGGGCGTAAGACCACCCATAGTTGGATTTTTTTTTTTTAAAGCAGTCTTTCGTAGGCAGGCTCTATAAAAATAGAAGTTTGTTAAATAGGCGTGTTTTTAGACTTTTCATTAAAAACGACCATACAAACAGTTATTTTATTTTGTATCTGAATCAACATGTTATATCCTAAAGCAGTGTTTTACAGCCAAAGGGTATGTGTTAGCCTATTCATAAGAACACACTGCTGGATCGGGTAATAATACCTGCCATTATCCAGGTGTAATAAAAAAGTCCCTAGTGGTCTGTTCCAGGTCTTTAATTTCCCTTTTGAAGATAGAGCTCCTTATTCACTTTCAAGGTTCAACATTTTTGAAACTTGCAAATGATTACCATTGAGGCATGCCAGATGTGAGCAATTGTGAGCAGTGCTTCTTGAAACAGGGTTAAAGGAGTGGATTTTTCTTCCTTGTTTTCTACCGCTGTTTTCGATGGTTTCTATACGTGTAATTTTTCACAACAGTGAGGCCGTGTGGACGGATACCAGCCTGGGCTGCCGTGGTCGCAGGCACGGGGCTTTTGAACTTCGAGAGATAAATTAGGTCCGTGTCACTCACTGAAGCATGGTGAAACCAAAGTGTGCTTGAGCAGATATTAAATGGCTTTCCCGAAGCCACACAGCCTGTCAGTGGCCCAGCCAATTCCTGATCCCCAGCTTTCTGACCAACATGGGTTCCCACTTTCCTGGGGATCATTGCTGATCCATGAGCCCTTGGGACCAGACTTTTCCCATGAATGCTTTGAGGCTGAAGTACCAAAGGATGTAGTCGAAGCCACTACTCTCTTTAATAGATGATTTTGAGCCTTTATTTTGTAAGATGGCTGCATGTCTAAGTTGATTATCTGAATGCACGTCAGAATAGATCTCTTCCCTCAAAACTATGGGCAAGTCACCTATGAAGATGATTCACCTTCACCTTCAACCTCATGTCACTATCACCTCCTATTCATTTATCCAGTGACGCTTTATTGAGCCTGTGCTCTCGGGCAGGCACTTGTCTGGGTTCTGTAGCTACAGCTTTGAACAGATATTCCAGTCCTTTTGTGGCATATATACCACTGGATGATGCTAATAAATGTATCCAAAAAATTAAAATTCTTAGTTTGCTCTACGTTGGGATGACCCTGGGTGCAGAAAGCCAAAGCAAAAGCGAACTGACATTTCTTAGACGTCTGCAGCTTTGTCGTGTGCTGTGCTGGATGTCAATGAAAGATGAATATGATTATCACTATTCTTTACAGATGAGGAACCAAGGCTTGGGAATGTAATCGATCTTGTTCAAGGTCATGCTAGTAAGGAAATAAATCTACTCTGGTGTCTTCTGGACCATTCTAGATGTGATCATATGCTTTTAGAACCATGTATTTGAACTATGGCCACCTCATGGAAAAATAAGTTGTAAAACCTTAAGGCACATTTTTGCCAATGTTAATAATCAGTATCAAGAAATGTCATGTTAGGGGGTGCCTGGATGGGCTCAGCTGGTTAAGCGTCTGCCTTCGGCTCAGGTCATGATCCTGGAGTCCCAGGATCAAGCCCCGAGTCCGGCTCCCTGCTCTGTGGGGAGTCTGCTTCTTCCTCTCCATCTGCCCCACGCCCCACTCATGTGCTCGCTCTCGCCCACTCTCCCTCAAATAAATAAATAAAGTCTTAAAAGAAGAGAAATGTCATGTCATTGGACTCGCTTGAAATGTCATTTGAAATTTAGCTGTTAAGTCCATGTTCCCTTTGCTGTTTATATGTTTCTGAATCACAGTATTCACTGTAGTACTCTCTGCTTTCATAACAAGCATCTTCCATAGACACCTCACCCCAAATTAGCCATTTGATGACCACAATAACATGTGCTTCTCAGATAACACATGACCTTTCGTTTGGCTCAGAACTTAGTGGTTGACTTTGCTAAAAATAGGTCTTTAATGGTTGTGTGTGACATTCATCATGGGGTGCTGATATTCGGGATTCTCTCTCTTTGTATCATGAAACGGGCCCATCTATGGCTGCCGAATTAATGAGCCTCATTTCTTTGATGAGACACATTAAGCACGTCAAAGATAGTTCCTTGCATTTTTGTCCCCGGAAGTAGTTAACAGGGAAGTATGGAAGCTGCCAGTGCTTGAGGACCCTGTCCCTATCTCTTTGGTGTATCTAAACACAGAGGCCAGACTGGGACGGTGTTTCTGGGGAGGAGAGAGAGGCTGGATTAAGTGTGGAAGCTGGGGCGGGGTCGAGGGGTGAGGGGAGAAGGTCTTTTGCTGACTTCATTCTTGACCAAACAAGGGCTGACGTAATGGCACGTGCTGTGGTTGTGGTGTCACGTGGTGACGTCATTCCAAGAACCCAGCTGCCGTCAGTGCTCCTCAGCGCCTCGCGGCTGGCGTGAGGGCTGTCGGGTGCTTCAGCTCCTCTCCTCCCCACAGGCTTTGGTCATCTCTCCAGTTTGGGGTCTTTGCGGAAGAGTTGTGTGTCAGTTTATCACCCGAAATACTTCCCATTGTGCTCAGGACGCCATCTTGAGTTCACCGGTTCCCACCTGCCCTTGGCTCGCCGGCCACACGGGCTGAATCCCTGATCTTCTCGCCCAGCAAGCTCACCCCCCTCTTGGGCCCTTCCGCCACCTGTGACCTCTACCTGGATTGCACTCCTCCTCATCATCCCAGGGCCCCTCCTTCTTGCCTTTCAAATGTTTAAGTGTCACTTCCTCACACAAGCTCCCCCTGATCACCTGGGCCTTCCCTCTCCTGTCGCCCAACTTCCGTTCGCCGGCTCTTTTCGTATTACGCAGTCAGTGCTTTACGTGGGTATTCTTTGAGCTCCAAGAGAGCAGGGACCATGCCTGTCTTAGTTGCCACAACATCCCCAGCCCCTAGAGCATTGAGCATGTAGTAGTTGAATGAATAGCTATCAAGTGAAGGAAGGAGGCACCCAAATTGTAGGCAACTTAAATATCACAAACCACACTTTCAGGTTATTTTTTAATAATGCAAAGGAAATAAAAACCAGATCTTTTTTTTTTTTTAACTTCCCATTTCACCTCAGTATTAATAGCAGTTTCCGATTGGTCAGTGATTAATTAATTACCTACAACAGGCTGTCTGTCCTCAGGGGACCCAAACCCACTGTTCTTTTAACCTTTGCAAACAAACTGTCCTAAAACCTTACTGGCTGGCACCGATTTCAGAATCTCTACTTAATGCATCAGAAACCTTTAGGACTTATCCAGAATTCCAAGGCTGGCTTCATTTCTTCAGTAAGCAGCTGCTGTGCACGGATACCCACAGCAAGTGATTTCACAGAAACCTGCCTCAGATACTTAGAGTTTGATGTATTTCACACACACAAAAAGCACTTTTTCATTTGAGTAGGTTAGTGACGCTATTGAATACAAATGACCTGTTTCTGAATATACTGGAACCTCACTAAAATTTTTCTGGCTAGAAAGTGGAATTCAGTGGAAGATAGGCCTGTCATAGACAGATCAAGGGGATTTATAGTTACTAAAATAAAGACTCTCAAAGTGGTTTCATTTTCTGGGGCAGCCCCACCATGGTTTCTAGGGCTCAGAAACCATTGTCAGGGACTTGGTCTTCAGAAGGGCAGACGGGAGAATCCCGTCTTCCCTTGCAGGTGGCCGGGGGCGGGGTGGGGAGCCAGGCGGTGGTCCTGCTGTCTGAACGTGGGAGGTGGGCTCCACTCAGTCCTGCAGTACTGTTGGTGTCCAGCTTCTGATACTTTATGGAACATGTCTTTGTACTTGGGGGTGGGGGGGAATCTTACTAATTTGGCGAGAAAACGTAGATTGAGTTTCAAAAACCTGATATTTGGGAAAGTTTCTGAAAAAAGTGTTTTAATATATTAGGGTAGGCCTTTGCATTAGCAAATCAAAGAGAATATACTATGGCATAGATTCATCCAGTCAAGCTCTGCATTCCAAACCAATTATTTTTTTTGGTCTAACCTCAGTGATGCAGCTGCTAAGTGGGAGATCATTATTCAAGGCGCATATGACAGAGCTGTGTTGGATTCTGACAAGGGAAAGAGTCTTTTTCGCGTTTTTTTATTTTGGGAGGGGGACATCACTTCTTTTGCTCTGTTTGAGAGTAGGAGTGATATAAAGATTTAAGTACGGTAAATTCTCTAGTTAACTAGAAGAGTGAGGTGTTCCAGTTAATAGTGTTCTGGTTAATGTTAATCCAACATTCTATTTTACCCGGAGGTATCCCAAAGACCACTTCTCTATGGCCAGTGTTTGTAGAACTCAAATAGAACAAACTATACGTAATACCAAAACTATACCAAACACCTGTTCATCTCTTTCAATGATCAGAAGATACTTCAGGATCTCACCAAGCCTCAGGACATCAAGAGAAACAGCGGTTATTGGGATTTGGGGCCAATAGAAGCCTGGCCTGTTACTGCTGGCTGAAAGGGGCATTTGTGTTTCCCTGGGGGAGAATTGGAGAAGGGGCTGGGCGGGTGGAAAATGGGGGGGGGAGGGACTTTGATATCTTCATCACTGTCACCAGAGGTGAAGGACGGCCATTTTCCCAGGTCTCATCAGGTGATCTGTGAGGCTTTTATTGGGCGTATAAATACTCACAAATACACAGACCCTAAAGTGAGATAATGTCTGTGAAGTACCCAGTGCTGAGCCTAACACACGGAGAAACCTTGAATAAAGGCAAGGTGTAACTTGGATGCGTTTATCTGTGATTTGGTTTGGTTTATTGTAGCTTTTTTCTTTGGGGGGCCAGGGAGCTCTTCCTGGCCTCCTTCTTGGCTGAAGGGACTTAGATACCTAAGTTGGGAGGGGCAGAAACTTTTCGACCTCCATTGTTGTTTACATTTCTAAAGGAAGTGTCTACAGATGAGAAAAATTCAAGAAACTATCATGAAGTAAGGGTAAATATTTAAATCAGTTAAGATAACCTCAGGTTGTACCTTCTTCTCTTTCTACCTACCTTCTCTTGCTTTTCTGCCACCCTCTATCTTCTCTGGGACATGTCTAGAAAGAGAGAGAATTAGGAGAAGCAAGTGTAAAACAGGGTTTCTTTTTTTCCCCACACACCATTAAAGGAAGGTATATTCTCATGAATTTTTTGGAGGGCAATTTTGACCTCAGTTTTGAAAATACTAAGTTTATGTACCCTCTGACTCAGCAATTTCACTTCTAGGGTTTTTTTCCTATATATATGAAAGGGCATCCATCCTAGCATCATTTATCCTGTTTTTGCAGCAGAAGCATGAAACAAACTAACTGGGGAAGAAAAAGAAATATGTGTGTAGAGGGCTGGCTAAATAATGGTCAATTGATGTTATGAAATTAAATACAGCTATCAAAAAACATGATAGATGTTCATGAACTCACATAGAAAGATGCCCCAGATCACTGTAGAGTAGAAAAGTTGAAGTCTTTATGGAGAGTATGATGTCATAGATGAGAGAAAAAATTAGATGCATATATGTGCATGCACATGCATAGATTTTTCTGGAAGGATATAAAAATACTGTTCTGTTAATATAATTGAATAATTATGGAGTATTATAAATTAAGATTAACAATTATGACAGAGTAATACAAGTTAAGATTAGTTGGCATACCCATATTGTTTATAGTAAAATGGGTATTATTAAAATGCTTAAAAGTTAGCTGTCCTACTTTTGTGTTAGCTACTTTCTAGTTTGCACTGTAATTTGTTTCTTCAGCCCTTACACATAACACATAAACAGTTAAACTTTGGTCCAGCTTAGGGTCATTCATAATTTCCAAATTGATGTTTTTATTGCTTCTCCAATGGTGTCAAAGATGATGGTGATCACACTGGTCTTTATTACTGAACTAGGGGCTAAGCACTTGGACTTACATTATCTCTAAACCTCACGAAATCCTGAGAGATGATGAAGAGGTGGAGACTGTACCCCACCGATTTAAGTAACTTGCCAAAGTTGTGTAGCCAGGAAGTTTGGGAGCTAGCCCTCAAAGCCGGCCTACTGCCAAGGACCGTGCTATTTCCATATGTCGTTCTGCTGGAGATATGGCACTGGTGAGTTAATTTCTCAGAGAGTCTGTTTTGTTGTTGAAACAGATAATTTTGAAAAAAGATAAAATAGAACACATGCTTTGCTTGTTTGCTATTTTCTTGCTTTCTAGCACATTCCATTCACGATTGTTAGTACTTATTCTGTGCTTCACGTTTGTCTGAAGTCTGAACATATAGCTATGAAGCTAATGGAAACTTCCCAAGCTCATTTGATTCTGCTGATATTTCCATAGTGGAAATGCCAACCCTGTATTAGCGGGGCCAAGTGGAGCGCGCCATCTGAACACTGCTCCAGCCTTCAGGGTTGGACCTGATTCAGATTTGAACACCATACTGTTGTTTATTTTCTTGAGATAAAGAACAAAAAAAAAATTTTTTTTAAAAAGCAAAAGCTGCTCTTGAAACATTCAAGTAATGTAATTTTTCTTAGTTGAACTAATTTTAGGCTTGGCCTGGTTTTGATTTACGAGATTGCCACCGTTCCATAGGTACACCCAGGGTGGCTTTGTAGAAGTCACAGTAACAGTCATAGAACGGCCCTTCCAGGGGCGCCTGGGTGGCTCATTCGGTTAAGCATCTGACTCTTGGTTTCCTCTCAGGTCATGATCTCAGGGTTGTGAGATCGAGCCCTGAACTGGGCTCCAAGCTCAGCGGGGGGTCTCCTTGGGATTCTCTCTCTCCTTCCCCCTCTGCCTCTCCTCTCTCAAATACAAATAAATAAAATCTTTAAAAGAGGGGAAGAAAAAGGGCCCTTCCAAGCCTCCACCTCCCTTCTTTGCTTTTCTGCCACCCTCTATCTACTCTTCCATTCAACTCTTTCCTGAGACCTGGTCTTCAGGTGATCCTGGCATTTTGCAACCTTGTAAGGTCTGTGGGGTGGACAGAGCTATGCGACTGTGCCCACCAAATAGGGAATCCAGCCCGGTCTTAGGAAAGCCTTTTTTAAACTAAGTCCTACAAGAAAAATAATCGACGTGCCCAGTTATCTGTGAAGAGAGGACAGAATGTGCAGATGGCCAGAGGTAAAAGAGAACTCAGCACATCTGTGCAGCTGCAAGGCTCCAAGGGCCTGACCTTCTCTTTTAAATGAGGATATTGACTACAGATTAGTTCCTTGACCTTGTTCAAGGCCCATAATACCAAGTACAGAACCTCCTAGAATAAGGAGCTTTGTTTCTAAACATCCCTCCAACGCCAGTACTGCTTCTGAGGGTGTTTAGGACTCATATCTCTCACGGCTGGTCATAACCTGTGCCATCTTCCTAAATTCACACTGGCAGATGACACAACTGCGCAAGGGGAAAACCTTCGGGACTCCTACGGAAGGGAATAGCTGCTGGTTCTTGGACAAGGACTGTTAGCATAATATCCTTTTTTAATCTTTTTTGATGATTTATTTATTTGAGAGAGAGGGCGTGAGGAGGGGAGAGGCAGAGGGAGAAAAATCTCACGCAGACTCCTTGCTGAGCTAGGAGCCCGTGGGGCTCGATCTCACGACCCTGAGCTCATGACCTGAACGGAAACCAAGAGTCGGACGATCAACCGAATGAGCCACCCAGGCGCCTCATATATCCTTTTTTTAAAACAGGGAAATGCTTAAGGCTGAAGTTTCTGTTTTCAGTAATGAAGATGGATATTCACATGAGGGGAGGACAAAGCCTTTGGGCTGTTTTTATGTGTCATGGACAGAAACATCAAATGACAACTCTTGTTTCACTTCTCTTTATGCATTCGGCACTAAGGCCTGCTTCTAAATCTTAAGTTCTGTTAACTCCTCACAATGCACAGACCTAGTTTTGCAGTTTATACACACCAGAATTTGGGGCACTTGTCCATCCTCCAGCCAGTTAAGGAAACCTTTCTCTGGAGTTCTTTTCCTTACTCTATCTTATCATCTAAATTTACTTTTTTTGCCCATGGATCTGAAAACCGAAAAGGTAAAGACCAAATTTGAAAATGAGTGTATCTCAATGAACTCATCAACCTGAAAAAATAAGAATTATATATATGACACTTCAGAAAGTCTACTGAGTGAAAACGGCAATTGTACTTGTAGTTTTAAAATAACAGATCTATTCCGGTTCAAGGTCAGTCATGAATTGTAAAGGATAAGAAATAATACATGGTTACTATTCAGGGACAAGAATGGTGGTATCATGTACAAAATGAATTTAGTTAAAAAAGAACAGTAAAATGCTGTTCTTCTAATTGTCAGCAAATTTCCACTACTTAGAAATTAAATGTAGTCAGTAAATCCCTTAGATAAAAAAGCTAGATGAAAACTGAGAATCCTGTAGTAAATACGAAGGTTGTTGGATACATTAGTCACATGTGTGTAATAAAGACAATAAATCGACGTAAGTATAGCTTTGATGAAATGTGTATAAAGCACTTTGAACTCCACAGAAGTAAGCAAAGTATAAATAGATAGCATGCTCAGGCAGAGAGAAAATCAAGTGCTATTTTAGCACTTGGGCTAGTGATAATTTATTATTCAGGCTCTGCAGCTGAGTCAATGTTTATATGGTGCTTTATATTAACTGAGACAAAAATGGTCCATACACATAACTGTCTTGGATAGATCACTGAGTGACCAACAGAAACGGCACCAAACGGCCACTCCCCGACAAGCAAGGGATGTATAATGTTTTCAGTGTTCATCCTAAAAGTTGAAGATGTTCTGACAATTTCGTCTGATAAATATGACTCAAGGAGAGGTGGTAGAGTGAATGTAATGGAAGAAGACAGGAAAGTGGTTAACATTCCAAAGTCAGGGATCCGATTGCCTGGATTCAAATCCCAGCTGTGTTGACCTTGGGCAAGTCACTTCTCTGGACCTTCCTTGTTTTCCTCATCAATAAGTGGAGTTAATAATGGTACCTACCTCGTAAGGTTGTTGCGGCAGTGAAATGAGCTAATGCAATAAGGCAGTAAGAATAGTGTCTGATGCAGAGTGAACATAAACTTTTCTCCTCCTTTCTCCAGCTGCGTGGATATTTCTTCATGGCCATTTCTTGAGCACCTCCCATGTGTCAGGCACTTTGTTCCCACCCTGCTTAGCCTCGTCTGTACCTTATGAAGTTACAAACAATTGAGCATTTGAACCCAGGTCTATTTGACTTCAAGACCCATCCTTTTTATCATGACACTAAGCTACTTCTTCTTAGAAATACTTCTTTCAGAAAGCCTTTTGAGAGTCACTCCACTCAATTCTGGCTCAGTCCTTTATCAGCTTGGGCTGTGTCTTTATTTGTGCCATTGACTATGTTTGATTGTTTCTTGTATATATCTCCCCAACTAAATCCTGTGTTCTTTGAGAGCAGGCATCTCTCAAACTCCTTCTGGGCAACCTTTCTGGCTGGAACTCAGTCTGATTGATTATATTAGAATCAGGAATGGCTGAAGGAATAAACAGATCAGAATTTACAGCAGCTGTGAAATTTTCCACGTAGCTAAGGAGTGGAACGGATACTCGCTGCTCCCTGCACCATGGAAATTATGCACCGCATCCAAGCCCTGTGAAACTCTGGTCATTTCTGAATCTAGTCTTCACTCAAGAGAAGTGTCTAAATTCAAGAAGTAGCCCCGGAAGGCCTTCAACAATGTGTTGGGCTACCAGTGCAGGAAGACTAAGAGCGTGACTCCAGGAGGCTTCTGAGGGTAGCATTACTTGCTGGATTCACCACAGTACAGGGTCTGAACCTCATCTTGGCTCCTGAAAGACCTGATTGGCCCATTCCTCAAAGACAGATCCATCGCTCAGGGGCTGACTCCCCTTAACGGCCCCCTGGACAGGTGTGCAAGCCGCAAGGCCAGCACAGTGATTTGTAAGCAGACACGTATGCTTACCTGCCCCGGCCCACAGTCTCTCTGTGGGTAGATTTTCTTGGGAAGTCAGATGAGCTTCCGAGGTTGCTTGTTGAGCCCAGAATCTGAACACGGGAAGTTAGGAGACTGTGTTGTTGGTCGAGGTACCAAGATGATGTCACACACTTATTCCTAAGAAAAGGAGAAAGGTTGGCATGAACACTACCCACGTTGGCCTTTCCAGCTTACTAATCAACAGCTGACAAGTCTCCATTCTGATTGGTGTAGTCGTCCCCTAAATACATCCATTGGGATGTAGTCACACCTTTCAGGATCCAGTCCATTCTGTTTCTTTAAGCTGCCTTTCTCTTTCCTGCTCTGGCTGCCCCATATTTGTGCCCGTGTGAACCCGGAGACAGTGCATGTCGGAGGGGCGGGGCCCCGTGGAGTGGAGGGCTGATGCTCCGCGGCGAGCCACCTTCAAAAGAAGCTCAAAGTCGGGCAATAACAGAAGAGTAATTCTTGCTAAAATAAATCGCACCGCTTAAAGTACACAAGAGATACGGGAAAGAGAAGAAAGCAAAGGAATCTCTCCAGCAACTGTTGACTGTTCCAACTGCGTGACTACAGATATCCGCATGGAGTTCTCAGACACGCTCTTGCCAGGGCCCCACACCCGCATGGAGGGCAATGTCAGGGTCTCCTCTCCCTCTCAACTCCTGCCACGCAGGTGGCCATCCAGACGCCACCCCTTGTCTTCCATCACCTTTTCAGAGTCGGTTTAATTCTTGATGCCTTTGAAAACCCTCTCATTTAGAAGCTGCTCCAACTCTCCGAGGTACCCACAGGCACAGCTGAGCTGGCAGTCAAGTGTGGGGCCCCATCTGCAGCTGTCTGTCACGAGGAACAGCTGTCCTAAGCCAAGTGAGTGACGCCTCTGTCCCTAACCGTCTCTGTGCACCCACCTCCTCACAGCGAGGGTGCAGCCAACAGGGAGGCTTATGGGGTCTGGGACAGGTCCCACAACACCAGCTCCTACAGAGGGCCCGTTTTCCTCACCTGAGCCTTGAGGAGCAGACACACCACCTCTGCCCTTCTTCTCTTCCTCATTCCTGGCCCACAGCCAAGGACAGGGACGTCCCAACGGGTCTTTTCCAGCTCTACCTGGTGGCTTGCACTCAGGGGGTGCCCTTGCCCCTTCTGCACCCAGATCTGCCAGCTGGGCGTGCTCCCTGTGGAAAGCTCTGCTTGTTAACCTTTCTCAGCATTTCCTTGTCTGTGGCAAGTAGCAGGTTTCAACTCCACCCTCAGTCTGACATGCATTTGCTCATTCAGTGGTGACCTCCATGCACGAGGCTTGGTGCCAAGAGCTGGGGATACAGTGCGTGCTTTCCACAGCGGTACCCTGACTTCTGTGGGGTGCAGAAGCCTCAGCCGTTGTCGTAATGCTGTTTCCAGCCTGCTCATCGCCAATGGGCTACAGCCCACGTTATACACAGAATCCTTTGCAGTGAGTTGTTCTTATCCTCAGGCAAATGCCCAAGGTAGGAACACGGGGTTTTGTAACCATCTGAAAGACTTCCTTAAGGAGATTAGTGCAAAGCAGGGCTCCATGTAAAATTTTCCATCCTCTGCCAGGTCTGTGTGTCTGCGCGTGTAATGAAACCAGGGGGCTGGTTTGCAGAATGGGCCAATAAAGCTAGTTTTAAGGTCTCCTTTATGGTATGGGTCTCACCAGGAGAGCCGCGTGGGCACAGGCACCCCTTGTTTCAGGGGGGTTAGGATGCAGGGAGGCTGTGGTCACTGTTGTCCTTCCCATTACACAGTTTGTGGCTGGTCGCCTTGTCCCCAGCAGAGACCGGCCAAGGCACACTTTGCCCGTTGAGGTGTTGGGATTCTCATTCCATGTGCTCAGCTGGAAATAGCCAGATGTTTTCTCAGCTGATATGAGGGTCACTGGAGGCCACCTTGTGCTTCTTCACAGGTCTTTTTTTTACAACAGCGGGCTTGGGCATGTCCCGGTGACTTTCCTGGTTCGGCAGGCTGCGTCTGGCAGACCTAGAGAAAGCAGGTCTCCGTAATCTTCGCTGCACATGAGAATCACCCAGGAGTGTTTATTTGTTTATTAAAGATTGATTGATTTATTTGAGAAAGAAAGAGAGAGAGCGCGCATGAGCAGAGGGAGAGGGAGAGAAGCAGACTCCCCGCTGAGCAAGGAGCCCAGTGCGGGGCTCGATCTCGTGACCCTGAGATCACGACCTGAGCTGAAATCAAGAGTCGGATGCTTCACTGGCTGAGCCAGCCAGGAGCCCCTTTAGGATCACCTAGGAGTATTTAAAAATCCTGATGCCCAGGCCACATCCCAAACCAGTTCCACCGGTCACTCTGCAGGTGAGGCTCAGAACCTCCTGAGGGATGTCACTGTGAGCAAGACTGAAAGTAGCTTCTCTAAAGAAAGGAGAAAGGGTGAAGGCAAAGCAAGACAAGGGAGAAGGACGGGATCAGGAAGAAGGGGAGTAACTAAGGGCTGCCCGGGTGTGGTGAAGGGTGGTACGGCTAGCAAGCACCAGGAGCTCCCCTGCAAGAGGGCCACGTGCCCGCCCAGCCCCTGGGGGTTAAACTTGAGAAACTGAGGCAGCCCTGGGATTCAGTTGTGCGAGAACGCATCTGGGCTTTCCGGCTGACTGGCCGTGCATCTCTGGACAGAGTTCACGTGACCCTCTCTGAGCTGCTGAGTCCTTATCAGTGAAACAGGGATGGTCAGTCCCACCTGTGGGGTTGTGTTGTGGGTTTGCTGGAATGACTGTGAAGTTGGGCACATGCCAGGCATTCCGCAATAATAGCTTAATAATATGATGAGAAGAAATTTACATTTCTGTTCCGATAAAACTTTACCAGCTCTTCTCATCAGTGACTTCTCTCTGCTCTCCTGAAAGGGAGGGGTTCTGAAGTCTTGGTTTAGGAGAGCTAACAAAAAGTACAGAGGTCTGGGTTCACAGAAGACCCCCACGTCTGTATTTCTACCAAGCTCCTGGGTGATTCTGATACAGCCCGTGCCGAGAGCCTTTCTATAAGGGAAAGCCAAGTCCTCACCCTCTCTGTAGGGGAGGCCCTGGATGCGCTCTGTACCTGAGTCTCACCATCTTCTACCGCTTGCTTCCCACCTCCTAGTTTCCTGAACCTTCCAGTGATGTCTGTGAACTTCTGCCGTACCCCGACATGCGAGGCACATTGGGGCCAGCAGCCACGCGGCAGGGTAATTCCACCTTTGATTTACAAGTCAGACTGAGATGATGAACTCTAAAACTGGCATCCTCCAAATTAGTAAACTCTAGCCAAACTTCTGACTAGAGAGGCAAAAATGAGTGTGTCGCCCCCTTTTTTTACTTGATTGCCCTAAAAGTGTCTCATTTGGAGCCTTCAGTCATCAGCCATGAGAGTGCAAAATGAAACAAAGCACCTCTCAGCATTAATATTTATTTTTAAAGGCACGAGAAGCCCCGTGGACCACAGTGAATCAAAGAGTCTGTGCACTGACAAGTTTCCGTGGGCATTGTGAGGATGTTGATCTGCGGGAGCCCACCAGGACCCTCGGTGGCTTTACTGCTTATTGTTTTGATGTAACTATAATAGGAAAGGGGATGTGCCTGCCCATGGGAGCAGCTACAATAGGGGCCCCACCCAGGGAAGGGGGTCTGCTGAGTATTAGCGGGAGATCAGTGTGCTTCGCGCTGCAGCGTCAATCCCCGTGGCTTCTCGGAGGCAGAGATCTCACCAGATGAGCCTAGCCACTTAGCTTGACAGGTAGCAGCATCCACAGGGCTCTGGTCAGCCTGGAAGAGTGGAAAACACCATGGAGACCGAGCCCGGACGGGGTGGGCAGACAGCCGGCCTCCCCCAACTCTCTCCAGGGCGGCGAATGCCGCGGAGGAGCCCTGTAGCACAAGGGAGCGGGCCCTTGCTCTAGCTTCCATTTCACAGAGGGAAAGAGGGGGTTCCTGCGGCGGTTTTTGCTTGAGGACCAGAACTCCTAGCAACACCAAGACTTTCTGCTTCAGGGAGGGATTTCAGTCTCTGCCTTCCCTGCTCACCACGATTTGGTGAGCAACTTTACGTGTGACATTTATCTTCATGCTACTGAAACTCATTTTCCATAACCTGTCAGGGGCTAGTAGAATATCTGCTAGGACTCTTTAGGGAATTTGGAAGGGAGGAGAAAGGAGAAAAGGGAAATGAAGGCAGGAAAGTTGCAGAAGAGGAAGGCTGCTTTTAATCGTGTCAAAACTCGTGCCTGCTTGATAGGCAGCATAGACTGCCCGCCGTATGCTTCTTTAACCGGGCACCCTGGAGTTCTTTCATGAATGATGGGGGACATTAAACATTCATCAAAATACCTTTGTGATGTGGGGCAAAACATAGAGTGTTCATCGAGTGGGAAAACAGAAGGGTAAGTGCATGAACAGTCGAGAATAATGGCACTCACAACAGAAAGGGAATTTCACATCTGTTGAACACCTACTACGTGCCAGGTTCTGTTCAAAGCACCACGTATGTCAGCCCGTGTCATCTTCATAAGAACCCTAACCTGCGAGGTAGGCACTGTTAGTTCTCTCCTCTTAGAAAGGGGGACGGGCCAACGATGACAGTCTCATGACTTGAATCAGAAGATTTCTTTAATCAAGGAGTATTTCTTCGACGTCAGTGTCCATCTGAAGAGCAGTGGGAATAATCAGGCCTGGAAATGGCCCAGGACCTTGGCTGAGATGTGCTCCCTCCCTCAGGTGGAGCTGGGGGCCCTCCGTCCCACACCCCAGTGGATAGCTCTTTGGGAACCAAACCCGTGGGATGAGAACCTCTTTGGTGTCACCTGTCTTTCCTTGTTTTACAAACGGAGCCCGGAGAGAAGATGTGGAGGGGCCCCCATGTATCTAGCTGGTTCGGGCACTTCTAAAGACTTGGAACCAGATGAGAGATTCAGGGGCTCTGGGGGGATCCAGAGCTGTCTTCTTGAAGGCGGGGTGTCCTGTGTAGTCTGAGAATCTGGCAAGGGTGCCGAGCCAGGGAGCTTTCTGGCGGCCTCTCTCAGGCTCTCTAGTCTTTGCTGCCCATGCCTTGAGAGCTCATACTCTTTGTGTTCTCCCCACCAATGCCAGCAACTTTGCTGAGCACCTCCCTGGCCCTCAGGAAATGTTCAGCCACGGATGGACCATTCATCCTCACTCTCCACTGCAGAGTCTTTGTGTGTCGAGGGCAGAAAAGTAGGTAAAAACAGCCACTTGCTCGGCACCCACGCTGTCCTTGGGAAACCTGCTCCCGGATTCCCAAGCAAGCTCAAGAGTGAAAGCAGAGAACAAGCCAGAATATCCCTGCCGCTTTATTTTACTATTATTTTTAAGTTGCGGACTTGTACTCTTCCATTAATTTTAACTGAGTCAAGGCCCATGACTTTTGTGATCCCCAAATCCTCCGTAAATTCATTGCAACTGGCTTTTCCCACCCCCCACCCGAACCCCTCTCCCTTCCCTGCCTGGGAACCTGCCCTTTAAATTTGACATGGCTAGGATTTTAATCTCTCCTCAAAGGCACAGTGACAATTTCACAACAAAGCAGAGAGGTTGGGTGGTGGGTGTGCGGGGGGGTTGTTTTCTGCTCCCATTAAGAGAGCAACTGTTCTGTCTTTGTCTCGTGGGGCCAGCTCTTGGCACCAGACCGGGGAGACCTCAAACTTGGTGTTGCAACATCCATCAGACCCAAGTGCGTCTGGGCTCCTTGAAGGTGAACTGCAGCTGTTTGGATAAAATTCTAAAATCTTGTTTGTGAGATTCTCAGGCCTTGTTTTACAATCGTTCTTCTTGGCAGAGAAACCAGGAAGTTTTACTTTCCCAGGATCCCAGGCAGGTAATTGTTTTCCCAAACAGCATTTCAATCTTTGATAGAAATGGACATTTTTCATTCTGAGAACCTTCGCCCACATCTATAAACCGTTTGTATTCACCCTGCGCGTTGGGAGAAGCCAGACAACCCTGAGACTCGATTACAGAATGTCCCTCCCTGCCCCTAGACACATTTCCATCTCTGGTTATAATTTAGGGCCATTTACATTTCTTTTTTAAAGATTTATTTATTTATTTGAGAGAAAGAGAGAGCACAAGCAGGAGGGGCAGAGGGAGAGAGAAAGAGAATCTCAAGCAGACTCCCCGCTGAGCGCAGAGCCCGACACAGGGCTCC